ATAAATATTCAAAATTTATAATAAAGTTTGATATATGTTTTTTTTTTAAAAAAAAAAAAAAATAAGAAACAAGAGGTAACATCTTCTAAACTTACTGGTAATCTTACAAAATTTATTAATTTAAATTCTACTCTCTATGTTCCTATTTATATGTCGTCCTTGTTAAAAACAGACCGTCCTTAATATTTATCATTTCACAAAATCAATGCATAAATGATATTATTCTTCCTGTTTACCCTTTGAAAGTTATTAGCCTTGAAAATATACGTTTGTCCAATATAGAAAAACTAAGTAATTGATTCATGTTCATTGGTCAAATTAGTTAATCAAAGTAAATTAATTCATGTTCATTTATTCAAAACTTATTTCAAGAAAACACTAAATAAAGATACAAAGGTAAGCTTACCTAATTTATTAAGGGACGATGTGAAACTTAAAATGATAACATATAAATAAAAACGGAAGAAATATAAAAAAAAGGTCAACATCATACTTGGTCCTAGCATAACATTCTAGATTATCATACACAAAGATTTATACAAATGAATTAATTACAACCATCACATTCAATATTAGGTCCTAACCACAAATCAATTTGATAGTCACAAGTCATTATCATAAAAACAAAAACATTATTTTCCCTCAAGAAAAAATTAAAAAACCACCATTTTGTCTTGTGCCTCACAAAAAAAAAAAAAAAAAAAAAAAAAAAAAAAAAAAGAGAAGGGAAAACATGTAAAAAAAAATGGATTCTTGATTTTGAAGAACTTGAAAATGGGAGAGTGACTTTCCAACCTACAAAATAGAAGAAAGACCTCCATTACACTTTCCCCCTCCACCCCTCCATTTCTCTTTCTAGCAAGAGGAAAAAGGAGTTGTTGATTTTCAAAAATCAAAATGGGTTCTGGGAGTAGTCGTTTGGGGTCACGTTCAAGTCGTTCAAATCGAACAAAAAGAACATTTGCATCCATTTTTATATGTGGTGCTTCTCCATCTTCTCGTCGTTCAGCTGTTGAGGTAAAAAAAAAAAAAACCCCTTTTGGTTGTTTTGTTTGGAAATGTAATGTAATGATGGATTGTTTGTTTTTAAATTTTCAATTGCAATTTCAAGATTTGTTTTTGATGGTGTGGTTTTGGTGTATTGGGATTATTTTGAATTTTGGTGATATACCCAGAATTTGATTTATTTTTTTTTGGATAGCCCTTTCATGGTTAATTTTATATTATGATTTATAGGGCTTATTTTCTAGCATTTCTATTCAATTGAATCAGGGAAGATTAGTGTTGCCTCAGGATAAAATGCACAACATGGAAAATGGGTAATGAAATTGCTAGAATTTCTGTTTTTGATAATTGTGGTGTCGGGCTAGCTTGCACATATCTCGACTAAGTCCATGGGATACCTGCTTACCTCCCACAAATACAGGTATCAGTTTGCTCGTCAACCAATGCTGGGACAGATGGGAAGAAATCACCTAATGTTTTGATTCTGGCGCTGGATTTGAACTTAAGACCTCATAGTTCTTAGTCCACTTTATTGACCACTAGGTTGCGCCCTTGGGTTCTTGCTAGATGTTTTGGCTAATGAGATAATAATCAGAGAATTGGTATTGTGAAGTTTACTTTGATAGTCTGTTTTGGCTTGCTAGGAAGGAGGATGGTCCAGAAGGTGGGGAGAACTGGAACTTATATTGTGTATTAGGTTTCCCTTGATGAAGTTTAGATGCAGTCATCGGAAACAAGGATATTAAAGGGTTTTATTTATCTGAACAACAAAAGATTGTGTACCTGAGTTTGAAGTTGACATAGCATTGTGCTGTTGACATTGCTACTTTTATGTTTTCATGATTCTATGACATCAGCGGTCTAGGATTAAACTCATGAGTAATGCTATAGAGAGATTTTGTTAAGTCGATCAGATTGGTTTCACAAAGTGATCTTCTCTACTCTTAGATCTTAGGTTGCTAAAGTAGAATTCCTAGCTATAGTCCATACAATAGTGCACTTCCGTCGTTGCTTGGTATTTCTCATTGTCATCCGTGCTTAACCTCATTTTAAAAGCAAATAAGAAATGAGTTTAGTAAAGAAATTGACACTGATGCGACCATTTCAATTAAGGTGTCTTTCATTGCTACCAATAGTATGGATATCAAATAGTAGTCAGCAAATATGAGAATCAATCTAACAGCCTTTGAGGAATCTCCTGCTGCAGTTATCTAGATTGTGGGAGAGTAGAGACTTCGGTGCTGAATTATCTTATGTGAGTGGGAGGCTCTGTTTCTTATAGGTATGTTTGGGTGAATTCACTTAAATTTCAATGTCTTACTCTAAGGCCGTCAGGAAAATTCTTGATTCTATGTAAAATAGTGGTATTTCTTGGTTTATTTTTCACATGTATTGTCTGTACTATATTAGATATCCTACAAATTCAGGTTGATTTTTGTTATTTACTAACTGTGTCATTCAAGTATTTACTTCATGCTCTTTTCTATCTTGAAAGAAGTGTTTTAATCAAGTAACGGGCTGATATTTTTGGTCTTGTATTCTCATACAGTCTCTTAAGCTATGCACTTATATTTTCAACAAGACGTTTGATGTAAAGTCGGTACTTTAGGTGTTTAAATTCAATTCATATTTTGTATTTGTTACTCTGTAGATGGAAGAAGATCCAGCTGAAATGCTGGTGGATTCTGCAGAACATGCTGACACTGGAAAGCTCCAAAACTCTGAGAAGGACCCTTCACCTGATCTTATTCCCTCCCAAGCTGAACGCGGAGCTTCATCTGCAAGCAATCTGGTAAATAGTGAAAAATCTACATCTGTAGACGCTTCAAGCAATGTTCAGGGAGGTAATCGAAGAGAAAACTCAACCAAAGACATGGAATTAGTCACTCAATATAATCCTGGACGTAAACGTGGTGAAACTGCTAGTACATCTCGGGATGACCGATCATTTCGCTATCCACTTTCTTTGAACAGAAGGGCAGACGATGATGGTGTGAATAATGTCGCCACTACAGTGAATGTAGATGTCTCTCAAGTTTTTGCCGGTTACTCTCATTCTAGCAGTCCATTGTCTCATGGAAATGGAGAGTCTTCATCAAGTGAAGATTTTGTTGCAAACCACACAAATGAAATTCTTATCTTCAATAATTCTGATTCTGTATCAGTTCTTTCGGATTCTTCAGTTACGCCACATTTGGTGGGAGATGATATGCGTCAGGATACACCACCTTCAGGTTTCGAATTTCTGGTGTCAGACAGGGAAGAGGGTGTAAGAGATGGAAGTGCACTTCATGTTGACATGGCGAATGCCTCTCCCACTTTTTTCTCTAATATTCCTGCTGAAATTCGTAGTCGTGAAGCAAGACGGAATAGTAGAAGACTTTTTTGGGATTCTTTTTCAAGGAGAAGTCCTAGGAGGCGTGCTGATCCTCGTAACTTCCGTTTTCCAAATGATAATTCAGACGATATTGCATCTCATGACAGGTTACTGCTGGACTTTAGTGATAATTCCCTTCATGAGGGGTCTGGAGGAAATTTTCCATCAAATGGAAGTCGGAATGAACGGCGACGGCATTCCAGATCTGAGGTGATGTAATTTATTTTATTTTTTCTGCAGTGGGAAGTTTGGTTGCTGCTCGACTAAATTCTGGTTTATCTCTTCACAGATGTGGGAAAGACTTCCTGCTGGTCTTATTGCTAGTGATCATCGAAGTGCCACTTGTCCAAGTGGGATTCACACAGATGGCCCATGTTCATGTGAGACAATTTTAATGAGTCGAGAATCTGGCAGTCGTGCAAGTATATCCCGAATAGTTATGCTTGCTGAGGCATTGTTTGAGGTAACTTTTCATGATGCAACTTTTTTAGTTTCTTTATGGCTTCTCCACAATGTTTAATGGTGGCGGATGTAGAGCATGGTTTATGGGTTCACAGCGACTCATTAGCTTTTGCATTTGTGAACCCAATTACTATTGTAGATTAACTTGATGTTGCAGTAGGAACCCATAAACATCCGCCTCTGATGTTTGATATGTGGAACAGTTTTGTCCGTTAAATGCTCAAGCAGTCCATTGTTTGCTCATAGTTTGTGCTCCAAGTGCTTGTAAATCTTATTACTGCCGCATACACAATCTTTTGGGATGTCCAAAAGTTGATAGTTCCACCACGGGGAAAAATTTCTCCGGGACTTAGAGATAGGTAACTCTGAACGGGGAAGACACTGTTTTAAGCAGTATTGTCAACAACTCATTTGTGGCACGCTTAAGCCCTGAAACTTAAAGAAGCTCAGGGGAGGGGTTTTGCCTCACTTAGGCGGTACTTTAGTGTAGTCAAGGCACTAAGGCGTGCACCTCATTTCCCATAAGTTTTATCTTGATTAGGCACTAAGGTGTGCACCTCATGATTCTCCTCCCACTTCATTGACCATGATGATCTCACCCTCAGGTGCAAAATTTAATTTTTATTATACTAAGGCGTGCACCTCATGATTCTCCTTCCACTTCATTGACCATGAGGGCCACACCCTCATAGATGTTTGATCTTTTATAATATCCCATAATTGTGCATTTCACTTCAAAGAAGCATGTGCTTGCTAAGCCCCATTTACCTGATTGCTTTTTTGGTCTCTTTCACTTTTAAAAGATGGGTTTTGGTAAATGCTGGCATCGTATGAAGTACCAACAATCAGCTATTTCTAACAAATAAATTTACCATTGTTGATATTATTGAGCGCTACAAAGTTTTGTCTTTTTCTTTCTTTGTTGATAAGTATTGAGTGTTGTAGAGTTTGACTGTTTGAATATATATCTTGCTTGGACCTTCTCAAATAACTGTTCGAAGAAAGCACTAAATTACTGTATGAGCTTTATATAGAGCAATTAACATAAAAATATTATTACTATTATTATTATTATTATTACTCACTACTGCTTACATTGAAAGAAAGAATGTTATTGGCTGTCAGGATTCTTATTTGGGCCCAAGAGGTGGACATTTTTTAATTTTGAGCAAGAACTAAAGAACGCCATTTGAATTATCTAATAAACATCTCTTTAGTGATAAATATATAGCATGGTACATTCCATTCAGGTCTTGGTCCATTGGTCCCTCCAAAAGACTGTAAGTTGTATCTCTATAAAATTGTACCATGTTGTGCGTCTTTAAAAGCTTCCTCTGTAAAGGGCACTGAAGTGGGATAGAGGAAGCTAGTGTATGTTAGATAAATATCTGCCTTAAGTCTGCTTAATCTGTTGCTAGAGTGTTATCAAAAGCAAAGCCGCAAAAAAGCTCTAAGGTCCATTGGTGCTTTAATTCAAAAAGGCGTAAAGGGAGAAAAAAATATAATTATGTATGGTCAGTCCAAGACTAATAATTATAAGCATGAATGACAATTATATGAACAAAGAAATTGAAAAAAGATCATGATAAAGTGAAATATCAATTGTTTAGTGTTACCTCCTCAAAAGAGGCTCATTGGTAAGGAAAAGTATGCGTTAGAACTTTGATGGCGACACTGAAGCGCACACTAAGCGAGGGAAGCGTTCAACACGTTTTGAGCCTCGCTGCTGCAGGGCTTAAGCATGCCTTTGACAACACTGCTATACATAATACTCAGTGCTTGTTATGTAAACTTGTTAAAACCCTTAATTTGCATGTTTTAGAGATTCATTTATGTTTTCTTTCTTTGAAAGAATCTCATGTTTTATCTGTGGTTCTCATTCATTATTGGAAGTTGTCACTGTTTGACACTAACGACAAATTGCAGGTACTGGATGAAATACATCGTCAACCTATGTCGTTGTCCTTATCTGTGCTATCACTTCCAGCTCCTGAGTCAGTTGTGGACTCATTCCCAGTGAAGAGTTACTCAAAACCAGAGGAAGTAGATACTAGCAACAATGTTTTACAGTAAGTTTCTCCATCCCTTTGTGTTTTGGTAGGAGAAATGAAGAGATAGGATGAAAGCTGTCTCCTACTTTGTCCTGGAGCATTTTCCCTTTTGTCATTTGAAGAGAAAGGTGCTGTTTGCTCTATTTTGTTTTAGTAATGCTGGAATTAGTTATGCATATGTATTATTTCTCATCCACTGTTTGGTTTGGTGTATTAAAAGGCACTTTTTTCTTTTACCATGCTTATCCATGTATTAATAGCCCTTGTATTACTAATACCATGTTTTGCTATGTATTAGTTATACATAAGCTGAAAATCCTACCAAACAAAGGATCAAATAATACAATGTCTAAAACATATAGTCCTTTGCCTATTAGAAGTACTTCTCTGTTTATGGACACTTCCTTTATCATGGTTTTTTCAGTGTCACCTTGATGCTTTTGAGTTAGGTAATGTAAAGAAATGAAAAACGAACGAAGGAGAATTAATGTTGCTTTGTACAGAAAGCATTTTGTTACTTGTGGACTATTTGTTCATTTTTCATTCTGTGTACCTGTAAAATTGTGCATATTATGCCCCCATCTCATTGTCATAGACCCTTTTGGCTTTTTAGAGATGAATGTTTGGATTTGTTAGGCATTGGAGTTTGGTATAAATTGTTTTAAATAATATTTGCTATAAAACTAATTGGAGAAATTGGTTTAGAAGATATCACATTAATAATAGCTTAGTATATAAATTTATATACCTGAATTGTTAAGACGGATTCCCTTTTTATTTTAAGGAAAGGGGTCAACGTTTTTCGGACGAACATCTATTAAGAAATATGCACTTATGAACTAATTAAAACAGTAGGTGAATGAAAATGAGTTGGAAGGAATGCATTATATCAAAACGAGTTAAAACCAGTCTGTGCCATATAAGTTATGACTTCAAGCAGTATATGGGATTTGGTTCTCTTTTTCTGGAAACTGATGTGATGTAGTTGTGTGGTACTTTTATATGACAACAAGTTACCGCTCTTTGATGTTTTAACTTTCATCATTTGTAGGTGTCACATATGCTTGTCTGAGTACGAGGAAGGAGATAAAATACGAGTTCTACCTTGTCACCATGAGTTTCATTTATTATGTGTGGATAAATGGCTCAAAGAGATACATGGGTAACATGAAACTGCATCTATCTCTTAATTTACATTCCATTACATTAGTTATGTTCTCTCATCACGGCAGAGAGAATGGTACTAAAGGAGGAGACAACACCTTTGTCCTTTACTAATATGGTGTTTTTCGCAGTGTATGTCCACTTTGCAGAGGAGATGTACGAAATGGTTTCGTTGACGGTTCAGTTTCTAACTCAGCAGCACTTCCTCTTTGAGGTATCTAGTATATACTGGGGAGAAAGAGAGGGGAAGAGGGAAAAGGAACGCCTCGCTAAAACCTGGCTCCATAATTTGTTGTTATGAAACAAGAGATTTTGCTATTTATATAGTATCCTATGACTTCTGGAGGGATACTGAAGGCTCCTCTTAACGGTGTTTATTTCCCGAAGCATCTTGAGCTAGGAAGGGTTATATCACCTATCGGAGCATGTTGAACACGGAAGGATCAATTCCCAGTTTTCTTCTTTTGCCTTTACCTTATTCTCAACACAGTGTGAGAGAATAAGGGGCCCTCTTCCTTTTCTTCAGTTTCGACGTTGCCCCCATACAATTTTGTGGAGAGCTTGTACAGATGTATATGGCAGCTTTCGCTCCGCAATGTACCCTTGTTGTGTTGTTGATGTTAAGAAGGCACATTTTAATGTTCATTGAGGGAAAAATTACAAATGCAGATGCCACTGAACTTGGTGGTGGCCTTAGGAAATAGGTGAATTTTCATATGGATTCTCATTAATAGATAGAGATATATATGAAATAGGGAAAGTTCCAAATCTATTTCTATAATATTATATAGTAGAAACTTTCATAGCAAAGATCTGGCTTGTCTGTCTTGCCTGCAATTAAAATTCATTGTTTTTTTTGTTTGATCATCTTGAGATGATATACATAATATACATATCTTTGCTAAGGTCATGTCAGCAATCATTTTTTTTTTACATATTCCCTTCGTTCTAAAAAGAATGATAAGATTCGAGTACAAGGCTTCAATTCAACACTGTTTAATTAATGTCCAAGGGATTTATGTCCTAATGGTCAATGATGTATGGTGAAAATCAGGGAGAAAATCAGGGTTTATTTCCTAGCAAAGTTAAAGAGAGAAAAAATGCTAGTTAATTTCTTCGTATTTGGCTAAGTTTTAGTTAGCAAAGTTACTATCCCCCCCTCCCCCTTATTGGTGGGGAATTAGCACATACTCCCTCCGTCCCTTTTTAGTTGTCCACTTTAGAAATGGCACACAGATTAAGGCAACAATGATTAGCACAGTGAAGTTACAATTGTACCCTTATGACAACTTTTCACTTCAAAATTACAACCACTTATTTGAATTAAAGTGAAATAAATTGGAGGGAAACAACATACACTTTTACAATTTTCAAGAAGTGTAAATAAGGGTATAATAGGAAACAATTTGTTGTCCTTTCTTGATTTGTCAAAATGGACAACTAAATAGGGACAACTAAAAAAGGAAATATGGACAAGTAAATAGGGACGGAGGGAGTAATATTCAGTAAAATAATCGAGGTGTTGGCTTGAACACTCATGTGCCTGAATTGAAAGCATCACTAGTTTATGTTTTGACCAAAATAGCAAGGGGCACATGGAATTCCGTGTGAATCAGCAAGAACCACCTTAAAAGGCTCATTCCTGGGCTATTTTGTTATTTTCTCATAATATTTAGAAATATGATTTTTGAAAAGGTTAAGAATTGTAATGGTAGAATAATTGGAACAAAGATGATTTACTCATAAAATGGTATACAACCAATAATGGAAGAAGAAAACAAAGATATTACTCATAAAATTGCAGCATAAAAGTAAACAGAAAAAACCATCCAAAGATGATTTTTTTACATTAATGTTTAAACACATCTTTAAGGTTCACAAATGGAATAATATATCTTCTCTTTTTGAGCCAATAAAATAACATAGTTGGCTACTATTAACATAAACTGTAATAAGCATATATAGTCCACAAACTAAAGAAGCTGATTAGCTCTCAGCTTTCTTTCTTTCTTTCACTGTCCACCAAATGAAACTCTCTCTTAAACATCAAAGAAAGGATTATATTTTAGTCCCTTATCAATGCTACTATTAACATAATGTTGACCACCATTCTTCAAGCTTTTGGTTTGTTCAGAATGAAATGTGTGATGATGATGATCTTGTTGAGGAGCAAAAAGATTAGGATGGCAATTTTCATCATCATAATCATCTTCATCAAATGTTGTCCATCTTTTTGAGTTTTGCTTCTCTTCCCTGGTAATTACACCTTTTGAGTTTCCTCCTCCCATTTCTCCAACATGGTTCTTGTATTCCTTTCTTACAACATCCAAAACGATGTCTCCGTATCGATCACACCATGTTCTGAAAAAGTCATCAAGGAAAAAAGAACAGAACAATTAATCTGATGTGATAATTGATTTTGTCTATGTTGCTCGGACTCTTCAAAACTAGTGCATTGTTTTAAGGATCCAACACGGGTGTAACAACGTTTTCTCTGAGTCCGAGCAACACTACCATGTGACACAACTTTTGAAATGGTTAGTATTGAGAACAAGTGTGCTTACTTAGAGAAGAACTTTTTCAGATCAGCCTTGTCAACTGGTAGCCTAGTTGAAATTGCTTCAATCTGATCATCTCTGATATATGATATCACATTAGTTAAATCCAATCTATTCAACAATAGATAGTAATAGAACAGTACTACAACAAAATTATACAATAGTCAAAGTACAAGAAACAACAGATAATAACAGAAATAGAAGGACATGAAACTCCAAGAGTAATACTACTACGACTACTAGTATGGAGTACTAACATAAAGAAAATGTTATTGGCTTACGTTAACTCAACGCTTGCATTTTTGGCACCAAGTTCTGTTTGAATTCTTGATAGCTCTTTCTTGATTTTGTCTCCTAAAACCTGAAATGTGCAACAAAACAATAATAATTTCAGATTATGATCATAGATAAGTTTTAGAATCTACTTTTCTTAACGAATGGATGTGTATGAATGAGACCTTATCGACAAAGAAATCTGAGGGGGCGCCATTAGGATGCAGCTTTATTTTGATCTGTTTAGTATCCGGACCTTCTCCGACAGGTTCATCAACAAGCTGGCCTAAGTAAGTTCCACCGTCCGACTTCTCATCAAGTGACAGTGGAACTGTTTCATCCTCAGAATCATTCCTCTTCCACTTCTTGAATCCATCAAATCCCCACTGTTTCTTCCCTCCTGATTTCGACTTTCCTTCAGATTCTGGCTCACCGCGACGTTGATCATCAACACCAAACAGTGCCTTAAAAGGTTTCTTTTGCTTCTTCACTTTCACAGGTTCATTAGGCAAGCTCTCCACCATCAAAATAGACTTAGTTTCACTGTCTTTTTCCCTCAAATGAGTATTCCAAAAAGGGTTCTCTGTCGACACTCCCAATTCATTTCTCTCGGAACAATTTTCACTAACTGGATTAAGTATACCTCTTTCCTTTTTGGATGATGCAAAGCCAAAAACTGAAGCAGCCCCTTTGATTTGCAGCTTAATAGCTGAAGAAGTTTGCTTTTGCTTATCTTTCGAGCTCGAAATTGAGTTCTCTTTGCCAAGATAAGATTTTTCATCCTTCAAATCTATAACAGACCACTCATCATCTGTAGTTTCTCTCTTTGATCCAACTACAACATGTTTTGCCTCAATCTCAGCTCCTTGAACTGCTAGCCTTTGCAATAATGGCCTCTTTGATGAATGATACTCTTCCTCTGATATACATTTTGCATACAACAACTCCTTCAAGAAGATAACACCATATAAAAATTTAAGCTTTACAGGAAAAATCAAGAATCTATAAAAACAAAAACAACCAAAAGAACAAAGAAAAACCACCCATCTCCCAAAAGCTGAAATTTCACTTTAATGTGGAAAATGTACAACAACGACAACGTACCCAGTGTAGTCCAACAAAGTAGGGTCTAAGGAAGGTAGAGTGTACGCAGACCTTACCCTTAGATATATGTTGTTTTCGATATACCCTTGCCCTTACATGAAAAAACACAACAACAACATACCCATTATAGTCCTACAAAGTGGGGTCTAAGGAAGGTAGAGTGTATGCCGACCTTACCCCTAACTCAAAGGTAGATTGTTTTCGATAGAACCTCATCTCTTACATGAAAAACAACAAAAGAAAAATCCCAAACCCCTAAAAGCTGAATATTTCAGTTTAATTTGGAAAATGTACTTAGAAATAAACTCCTTCAAGAGGAACAACCATTAAAAAAGGTCAAGCTTTACATGAAAAAACAACAAACGAAAAACCCCAATTCCCACATGATGAAAATTCAGTTCAATTTGGAAAATTACAAATAAATTGAGCTATCAACACAATCACTCCACAAATTTCAAGAATTGAGACAAAATGAATCAAAAAAAAGAAGGAAGGGGGAAATTCACCTGCAAGAAGATCAACTTATCCCTTAAGATTGAAGAATGTTCATAATCAGCAGGAGACGCGATAAGCGTATCGAGAAGATGTGATCTAAAAGCAGAAACTTCAGATTCAGCCAAGATCCCTTCTTTAAAAAGCCCCATCAAGTTAAGAATCTGATGAAAAGATTCTTGTTGCCATTTAATATTATCCGATTGCTGCTTCGATAACCTCTGCTCAGCAGCTGCAATCGCGGGTATTCGCCTTTTCTTGAACGGAAATGGAAGAATAGTTTTGCAAAGAGAAGTAATTGAATCATGGAGTGAGCTATAGTATGTTGGTGTGTATGAATAAACCATTCTTGAAAATTAAAAAATAAGTCTTTTTTTCTTTTCAATGAGATTTTTTATTTGATATGAGAATTTAACCTATAGTTTTTTTGTATTTAAATGTGAATTCTTTCTTGTGTTTTTGATTTGATGATGATGGTGAAAGGCTTTTTGTTGAGGTTTGAAGAAGTTTTTTCTCAAACGGTCAGTGGAAAAAACTAGCCGTTGGGAGTTTTAAAACGTTGGGATATAACATAAAAACGGCGACGTTTTCATTTTTCTAGTTTTCATTTTTTTTTTCTAGTTCCAAATTAGTGTTATATTAATTAGGATTAACAACACTTTTAGTGGTAAGTGTTTATTCATCTTTAATCAAATGTCTCGGGTTAGAGTCGTACAAATTTGAATTTAGTGGGAATCAATGTGTGTATTGGACACTGGATGCGAAACCAAAAAAACACTTCTAGTTCCATTTGTTATACTCCTTCCGTTTAAAAAAGAATGATCTAATTTGACTTGGAACGAAGTTTAAGAAAAGAAATAAGACTTTTTAATTTTGTGGTTCTAGATTAAAATTATGTAAATGTACCAAAATGCCCTTTAATCTTGTGGCCTTTTAAACATATCACGTGGAAAGTTGAAGTTAAAGTGTTGCCAAAAAAGAAAAGGGGTCATTATTTTTGAAACAGACTAAAAAAGAAACTATGTCATTCTTTCTGAAACGGAGGGAGTATGTAAATACTAGTTTTAGTCCTTCTGATATTTAACTAAATATATTTAACTTTTAGTTATTTGATATGTGCACTTAATTATTTGAAATAATAACCATTTTAACATTTAATTACTATCTAAATCTATGTTAAGATTTATTACACAATATTCCACGATATTTTATTTTGAAAATAGCCTATGGCTTTATTTGTTTTTATTAAGATTAAGATATCTAAATATAAATTCATATCTGAATATTACGGTGTGCATTAGAATTAATGTGTGAATCTTGAATGCAGATCTACATAATTAAGATGTTGCATGAAGAATTAGATATGAATAATAAGTAATTAAGTTCTCAAACTTCTCTAGTAACCAAGTACTTGATCCAAATTCCATGATACAATCTTCTTATTTCAAACTTCATCTATACAAACTCCACAAACAACAACCGTTACTACGCCTCAGTTCCAAACAAGTTAGGGTCGGATATATGAATCCTCACTTCATGCCTCGTTCCAAACAAACTGGGGTCAACTATATGAATCCCGATTTCTTTATACAAACTATGCGCGATACATTTTTTTCAAGTGACAATCTCAATTCTGCAGCAAGGGCAACATGCATAATTCTCCAACCATGGAACCAAACAACATGAATGGAATTTGTGGTCACATTGCAAATGCATTAGGTTATCACCAACCTTGAATTGGCCCAAGCAAATGGTGCATTCTTCATTTTTGATATCGTTCCATTGCTTTATTACCCTGCTAAATGTCTTTATCCCATTTTGCTTCAGTCCAGACATCTCTTTCTTCTGCAGAGTATTTGATTCTACTTGCCTGTCTTCGACATCCTTGAATCTTTCGTCTTTACTTCTAGTCCTGTTTTCAATAAACACAACGAATAAGTATAAGCTCACTGAGATCCTATATGTTGCTCGGACTCTCCAAAATGCTGTCGTACCCATGCTGGATCCTCCAAAAGCAGTAAAAAAGATACTGCTTTTGGAGGATCCGACATTTGAAGAGTCCGAGCAACAAAGCAGAGATCACATTAACAGAAAATGTTTTAACAATCACTTGGTTGTTGGTATGGAAAAACTTACACACACCGGTATCTATACCGAATCAATAGATACATGACATGTACTTCTTACATACAAATTATCACTTGACCATGGTTAATCTCACATATTAGTTCGGTGTAAACATCCTGTGTGAGTATCCAATAAGCAATGGAAGCCTTAATCAACAAAATATTATAAATGCTTGAACATCCAAGATTTCGATTTATCCTTTAAGTTAGAGCAAAAATTTGAGCAGATTCAGTCCAGTTAAGGGAAGAAAACTAACAGACAACGCAAAGTAACGGCAGCTCACTGCAAACAGCGAGCAGACGATAAATCTTCACTTCCACCCCCCAAAAGAGAGTGGTAAAATCAAAATTTTGACTCGTGACTACAACAACAACTACGCCTCAGTGACACATAAGTTGGGGTCAGCTAGATAAATCCTCATTTCGTCATTTAAGCTCACATCATATCATTATTGTGGGCAGGAGAAACAAATTACCAAAATGCAAAACACAAAGTTCGTACCTAGGTGGAAACGATTGTCGTGAGTAAGCTTATAGGAATGATTGGATTTCACTTTGTTATATGACAACACACCAAGGTAAGTTCAAAACAAGATACTTATGCCAACCCCACAAGTTACAATTCTAAGGCATCAAGAGGCTAACTTTCCCTAAGAAAACACCATTTCGGGCATTATATCAAAAAGACCAAACCACTGATTTCACATGGAGAATGACAACCCTGTAGAATTGTTCCGAAACTCATGCCATGTTACCAGAAAGTTGACAAGTAAGAGTGAAGTAATTCTACACATCATATAAATACACACCATCTCTGCTCACTACAGAGGTAAAAAAAAAAGAACTCCTCAGTTAGAATGGACGAAACTTAGTTAGTATCGAGACATGTCAAACTCAGTTATGCATAGTTCAATTCGAGAGAACTATCAAGCTCAGTTATGTATAACTACCTGAAATTGAAGCTAGCTATACCTATGAACAGTTAGAATGGACAGAACTTGTTATCCTCCTCTCATGCATAAGTCACTTGCGGTTTGTCCATTAGTTTTACCTTTTCTTTGGTATCATTCCATTACTCGAACTAAATCGTTGACACAAGGGATCTGTTTAGCTAAAAAACTCAGTTTCATTTTATCTCGAGGAAGGGAGAAACATCATTCTTTATATTAGAGTACAAGTAAATGCTCTCCTAACAAGACATATGAGCAGTGAACAGAGAGCGCTTTCCTTCAATGGGCTCTATGCAGTGCAAATTCGGATTAGTTCATCCAACGAGTACCGGATACTAACACACGAATCTCTGTAATACAAGCAAAATATGCTCTCCTTATTAGATTTTGAAGTCATACGAGGTAAAATCTATTGGGATACTAATGTAGGAACAATTTACCTAAGTTTATGCAATTAAACTAGCAAATGAGGACAATTATCTATAGAACAAGCTGAAAATTACCTTCTTAGCTTGTGATCCAATCTCTGCTTGGCTTCTCTAGCTTTTTCACCTAAATCCTCATTGTTATATCCATGGCTTCCTATACTTCTTTGCTCTATCTGCTCATTCAAATGCAAAACACAAGAATATATACTTAAAAATTCATTATTTCACTCAATTTACATCAAAATTCTCCAAAAAGGTAGAGGTGAAAGTTTGGGGGTGGGGTGGATGCACAGAGGCGGATCCAACATTTGAAGTTTATGAGTTCCCGCAAGGTCTATAAGTACTAATATACCATAATAACTGAGTTCACATTCAGATATAAAAAAAGAAAGCTACTAGTTCACGTGAACCCATAACTCGTACTCTGCATCCACCACTATACTTATAGTGGCGGAACCAAAATTTTCACAAAGGGGATTCAAAATATAAAAAAAGTAAACACACAAGATCCAACATTTGAAGTTTATGGATTATGCAACAACTATAAGTTAATGTATATCATAATAGCTAGATTCTCAATCAAATATTTATAGATATTCAGTGAATTCCTTAATATACAGGATCTAAGCAAAAGTTATTGGTTCACGTGAATTAGTACCTCATACTCTACACAATCAGAATTTTCACTAATGAGATTCAAAATATAAAAAAAGTAAACATATAAAGAAGGGGGGAAATTCAACATCAACTATATAAACATTAAAGACTAATTTTTGACTAATATAAAATGTAATTTTTCGACTAAGGACAAATGAATTGTTGAGTAGCATACCATGGAAGAAGCAGAAGGGGCAAGTGAATCAAATGATCTGAACTGATAACCCCTTTTTGCAGTACACAGAATTCCAACAAATAAACCAGACATTTTACATTTATGATTGTGATTTTAGCAAATTTTGGAGAAATTGAAACAAAATTATGAACATGATATTTATGATTTTTGTGTACAAGATTTGTCTTTTGGGATGTTGATTGGAGAAAAGAATTTAGGATATGTATTCCAGCAAAGATGAAACTTTAAGAAAGAACAAAAGAATGATTGTGTAACAAAAAAGCTAACGTGTCTAAAAACAAGAGAAAAAAAATGTGCACCATAATTGCATAAAATAAAATATCAGACACTTCAATTCGATTTTAAGTTGACCTCGTAAACACACAAATTTTATATGATATTGAGTCATCAACCTATAAGAATATTGGTTGATTCTCATTAGATACACTTCGTATTCAAGGGAATTCGAATCTGAAACCTCTTGATTAAGAATAAAGGAGTAGTTATTAGGTACTACTCCACCACAATCTTCATTAATTTACGTCTTTGATTCAACGTGATGTTTCAGTGTTAATTCTATACGTATTTATTATATTAATTAACAATATTGTGATAATATTTTTTTTGAGAAAAAGATAGTTGCATTATAATAATAGCATTAAAGAAGTGTTTCGGTAAATTACAAAAAATATTGATTTTGCTTCTTCATTTATAAGAGGTAAAGTATCAATAAGGGAGGTGGTAAGAATTTTTCATTTTCAATTCTAAAGTTATAAAAATTAAAATCATGTAAAAATATCAAAACTCCTTAAAAGGGGTTTACAGAAAATGGGCAAAGTATTGATTCTTATTTATTTATTAAAAAAAATTCTTTATATACCAAAAAAAAAAGAAGTGAAAATATGCAATTATACTTGATGTTGAATTGAGTTAATTAGCTTTATCTCAAAATATCTTTTGTTCCTTTCCACTATATGTATTTTGTCGGAAGGAAATTTTTTTGCGTAATCCGTAAAATTATTTTTATGATTAGAAGGTTACGAATTTGAGCGATAAAAATATAATACGTAATAAATTTTTATGGTCCGTTCTTTTTTTAATCTTACATATAGTAAAAAATCAGTATATTAAATAACCCTCTTTACTTACTTTATATATGTTGGGATTATGTTTGTTATAATATTCTTTTAACATACTTAAGACTACAAAATTATATATATTAAGTTTCCCTCTGTGACTTTATATATGTTTTTCAATATATTTATCACATTAAATAAATTGTGACCTTTCTAATTAGGCACCACACTTATTTATTATATTTTTCATTGACTATAAATTCAATAGTATCGACTTTTTGCACCTCTTCTGTATAATTTTGTAGAAATAAAATTGTGTCTAAGTTCGACAAATTTATATTAATATTTGAGGTATCGCTATTTTGATAATAAGTCTATTCGTTTCAACACCTCAAATACAATGAAGGGATAAATTTCTTAAAAACACATCATTATTCAATCAAATAATTAATTAAATTTTCTGTAATTAACTAAACAACACTCACCTCATATATTTTAAGTAATCATCACATGGCTATTATGACCAAATTTAAAGAATTAGTAACAAAATAGCGATTAGTACCGAAAATCACAAGCTAATTAATAAGTTTCCATTCGTACGGTTCGAGCCCCAGCAGGGCCACTGGAGGCATTACAAACCGGCCGCGTCTCCAGGGCCCCGTGGAACTAACCGTGGTGGACCCGCCTTGAAACAGCGGGACCCGGTGGGTACAGCTAGTCGGGTTCGCAAAGCGACGCCCGGAAACCACGGTAAAAAAAAAAAAAAAAAAAAAAGTTTCCATTCGTACAAGTAAAGTCACTAATGGCCTAATTAATTAATAGCAAATTAGATTACCTTTTTCTTCTTCTTTTGGTTTATGTCAAGTGTCATTTTGATTTGATTAGGTGGAAGTCACTTGATTAACAAATCATATTAATCAACTAGTGTACCGTAAAAATGACAAAAATAATTCTTTTTAATACATATTATTTTTTGATTAACCAAAAAAAAACAAACTGAAGAATCGAAACTCTCCAATGTCAAAGTTTTTAAAAAATAGTATCGGTATCAATCGAAAAATCGAAGGACTGAAATAATCGAATTGATTTGGTTCATATTTTCAATTATTCGATATTTATGTCCACTCCTAATTCCACTTGCAAACAAAATAATACTAAGATACATTATTATTTTTATAATTATATTGGACCAGACAAGATAGTGAAAACTAATTGAATTATTGAAAATTTTCTTTCATGGTGGGATCCAAAAAAAAAAATGTCAGATAGTGATATTTGGTTTGATTTAAATCACTTGTTCCAATTGATACTCAATTGCCATATGATAATCAATAATGGAATTTTCACAAAAATCAATTACTGTAACAGAGAAATTGATGAGAATGATACTCTCTTTTTTTCTTGAGCTAATTTTAGGGCGTGAATAGGTCCAATCTAATTTGACATAGTATCAGAGTCATACTTAATGATCAGATGTGGGGGGCCTCGGACCATGCTTGTGAACATTCTCTCGATTCATGATTATACACGCACAAAACGAAGTGGAACTTCAAATAAAGAATGTCTAGTCCAGCTATGAAGGGAGGGGTGAGGGTGCGTTGAGAATGATTTCACATCGGATAGAAATGAAAACTCTAGATTCCTTATAAGGATTGAGCAATTATCCTTCCTTTGAGCTAGCTTTTGACAAGAGTTGACTGCTTATATAGTCACTCAACCAGAAAGTGTATTTTAATTTCATTAGCAATTTAATGGCATAACACACAATATTTAAAGACAAAATAATTAAAACTCACCCAAATTCTCCCAATCCACCACAGCTCACACTACATAAAGTTTTTTCTTAAAAGATAAAAAAAATAGTCAATAGGTTCAATTGCAAGACACCTATTATATCTATATATATATTTTTGTACATTTTAGAAAATCTTGGACACCTACAAGTTGTAGAAAGAGACATGCAACTTCCTTCCAATTTCCTAATTATGCACTAGTACTAGTCAAAATTATTGTCATTCTACAACATGGACAATGTGCATTGGATTCTAGCCATGGCACCAAACACTTGGAATGGAACTTGTGGGCACATGTCAATTGCATTAAGTTATCACTAATCTTGAATTGATCCAAGCAAATTGTACATTCATCTTGTTCTTGAGATTTCCAAATCATTTTTGCCCAATTGAACTTCTTTGATCCACTTTTCTTTAATCCTGAAACTACTTCTCCTTGCAAATTTGGCCTATTATCCAACATCTCTTGGCTTTGGTTTGGTGGTTGTCTATTATTGGGACTCCTAAATTCAATATCATCACAAGAAGAAAAATACAATTTAGTGACATGAGGATAAAGAGTCAAACAATTAATGGTTGAAGTTGCAAGTTAAAAACTACTCCTATATGTGGTTTTCCTAATAGGTTTAAGTTTTTCTATATAGTTTGGTACGTGGAGTAAAGTGAGATATTCAAAGGATAAACTCAATTAGAAATTTGTATCGTCTTTAGTTTGACAGTATAAATTTTATCTCGGGCTTAGTCTTGAATATCCCACCTTATCCCATTAGAAACAATCTTCGGATAGTTAGTTTTACATGTGATGGCGGGCTAGTACCTACTTTTTTAAGTTACTAATTATAGTATAGTACAATTATTTGTTTATAGTTGCCTTACAAGTGACCTGATTATGTAATTATTATCTTTTTACTCATGAGTGCATAAGACTTAAACTCGTCACTAATACGAGCCTATATAAAAAAAAAAAGAAGGTATTACCGCTTTTACTTGGTAAATTTATCTTTAATTACTCTATACAAAGTGACCGTGAGTACATAGAATTTAAACTCTTTGCTAACATGAACCTAAATCAAGAAAGGAACAAATTGAGTTTTTCACCTCTTATTTTGTGATTTCCATCTTGCACTAAGCCTATCATCCAACCTTTGCTTGGCTTCTCTTGCAGCTTCACCTAGTTTCTCATCTTGATATGCTTGACTTGTTGCACCCCTTTGCTATTAATTCAATTATGCAAGAAAACACACAAGAATTAGTACAACAACACAATAGTAATTAACAAGTAAACCTCAAATCCAAATAATTTAGTATCGACTATTTATGAATCGTGACTTTTCATATCGCTCCATCTAAGCTCATCTCAGTTCAATACTAATATCATGTCATTACATCCAAGAAATAGTATCTTGTCATTATAATAACAATAACAAACAACAACTATGTCTTAATTCCAAGTAAGTAATAGGAGTCGGCTACATGAATCTTGATTGTCCATATCGCTCCATTTAAGCTCATCTAAGTTCAATACTAATATCATATCATTACATCCACAAACATTGGGGTTGGGGGGGGAGGGGGGGGGGGGGTAATCAATTAGTACCTTGGATGAACTTGAATTGAAAGGGTGTTCATGGTTACTTGTGTATAGACAAAAAGAAGACCTTCTTGTGGATGAAAAATCAGCGGTGTTAGATGAATCTATACATCCACTACTTTGATGAAATCTCCTTCTTCTAGCACATTCAACACCAGGAAGCATACCAGCCATTTTTACACAAAACTCAATAGAGGAAAGAGAGAAGAAGAAAAATATAGTGAAAAAAACCAAAAAGTTTTACACTATATAGGCCTAACTCACTTGCAACTTTTTTTTCTATGTATATAAAGTGAAGGAAACAGAGGAAATATTTCAATTCCTATACATTGTGTATTATTAGTATTCCTTTGTCTGAATTTATATGATAACGTAGTACAAAGGTCAATACTTAATTTTTAAAATAAAATATTTCTGAAAATTATAGTTAATAATTTAAAATATATTTAAAAATATGTAGTAAAAGAGATTATTTGACTAAGTAATAACATCTTCATATAAATTGAAAGAAAGGATAGGGATAATTGTCTTTTCTTTTGATTGAAAACTCTATGTCAATTTTATTGTTTTTGTTATGTAATAATAATTATAATATATAATGATAGAAAAGACCTCTCTTGAATGAAGAAGTTTCTTGGAAATAATGGGGCAAAAATAAATTGAATCTTGAAATGATGGGCAAATTAATAATTTTTGGACTAAAGTTTTTTGGTAGACAAAAGAGGTCCCTACCATAACATATTCATTTTTTGATAAGCTATCATTTTCAGCTTCACTTAGTTTCATCTTTCACTTAAATAATAGATGGATGTGGTAGGATTAGGACATGACTTTTTTTCCTTTTTTAAAAAAAATAAATACTTTTTTGTTCTTCTAAATTTTAGATTTACATTTATTCTATACATACTTATTTTAAATTTTAAATTCACCTCTAGTAATAGATTTATCATCGAATTATATCAATGACAGAACCTATAACAAAGAGTCATTTAGCCATCAGAATTATTTATCTTTTAAATAATTTTTACTTTACTTTAAAATCAATATTTGGTTATACACTTATACCTATCCAAATTCAATATGAAGTTGGATTTCGATTTTGGAAAAGTGTTTTTAAATTGTTTCACTATTTCATTTTTAGAAATTTCAAATAAAGTGTTTTTTTTTCAACAATAATAATAATAAATGAGATCTAAAGAAGACACTATGTATTACCTTACTCTAATATTGTGAATATAAAGAGGTAAATTCAACTCTCTTTTTATTCGCAGAAAATATAACTATAATTTCGACTCCAATTTCATTAATTTCAAACACTTACATCCTATAATTAACTTTTAACTTCATAAATTTCAATAATAATTATTAATGTAATCTTTCTATATGTGTAAGGTGTTAGTATGAATGTATGATATAATTAAAATATTTCTTAAAAGATAAAATTCATAATTCTCTATTACATAAGTATATGTAAGTCGCAATCGAACAAATTATAATCACCGTCAAATTATCAAAATCAAACTTTAAAAAATCAAATTAAACTAAACTAATAATTTAATATAATTGGCGAGCAAACATTATCATTGGCGAACTGTACACATGATTCGACATATGTTCTGTCGTTCAGTTTTATATTTTTAATGAAATTAAATGTTTGAAAAAAAAAGGAATCATTCATTTAAAATATTTTTCTTTTACAATTTATATAAGTAAATTAAAATAGTTCATTTCTCTCTTTTGTTATCTTATAAAAGTTACTTAATGTATTAGATTTATTTTCTGTTTTCAACTGAATACGGAATATACAAAAAGAAAATCCAAATAAAATAGCTTTCGATTTAGATTTTTTTTTTTTTTTTGTAACAACTGTGAACATTATCATTGATAACAAACGAGAATTACAGCTTTGATCACCTAACAACACAACATTCCTAGTCTATTCTCTTCTCCTCACAACTAGCTTTCGGTTTAGATTTTGTAAACGTATTAAAATGGTAATAATAAATTTATATATTTATTAAATTTCAAAAAAGTAACTAAAATGATTCGTGAATTCAATGGCTTCTCGAATTATAAAATTTAAATTATGAATCTAACTTTATTTTTAATGAAAGTAATTTTAATTTGTAGCATACAATGAAAGGTACTATCTTATTATATTATTTTTATTAGTGTTATAATCAAAGTTGAGATTACATAATCAAAGATACCATATTTTTTTAAAAATATATAAAAGAGATAGCCTGTCAAAATCTAATAAAATATTAAAGGCTGCTAAACAATAAAGTATAAAATAGATCAAATGATATTCTATAAACTTTTATGAAGATTTAAATAAAATGAATCTTTTTTATTATTTAATAAAGCAAACAAAAGGAAATAGGTAATTTAGTTTGTTATATATACTTTAAGGGTGGTCTTTGATTTTTTTGATCCGCTTAACAAGATTTTAATATAAATTATTTTTATTGTACATAATTTTTAAATATAATATGCATATAATAACTTGTTGTCCATAAGTCCATTGGGTAGCCTTTAATATATGATTGTCATAATATAACCTTTATTTACCAATAAATTTATTTTTTCTTACAATAAAAAAAATCTAGAAATAATTGTAAATTATTCTTACATGTAATAACATGCATCTTAGTTTCTGTTTTTTTTTTCATTCTGAATATTCTTTATTAATTCTAATATAGCAAAATTTACTATTATTTTGAGATATTATTCTGTAGTTAAATTATAGAGATTCTGATCTTATTGTTTCTTGTTTCTTTATTTTTTATTTTAATAATTGATTGATCTTCCTATAATGATATTTACACAAGTGATTCTAAAGGACCTCAATGATTGTTTCTTATGTATATAATAAAAATAGTTGTGACTTGTGAGCTGTATATTCTTCCAAATGTTATATGTGGGGTTCATGAATAATTAATCCCACTAACATTTATTTGTACACCCAAAACAATGAAAAAGCTAAAAGATATTTCAAAATCTTTTTTTTGGTATTATTATGAAATTAATTAGTATAGTTTGATAGCAGATTAGAGTTATGAAACTTCTAATTAAATCTTTTTTTTTCAAAAACATATTAGTCAATTAGCTTCATTACAAGAAATCTTACACACTATTTGCAAGTACATTAAAGAGCACTCGTAAAAGATAAAATTATTGTTTACACTTGATGTTCAATCAAATATCAATTCAGCAAAACTCGGTTTAGCAATCAAAATTATCCTAATTCCTCAAGTTGTCACATGTATCTCACATCGTCTCAAGTGAGAAACAAAGAACACATATTGTTTAACTATAAATATGTGTATGAAAGATACATGTCACGCATTCTATTGATTTAGGATCGTAGATGCTAATTGAAGTATTAAAAATAGTCTTTTTCTTTCTCAACTACAACTTCAATATTGGTCAAACCATTTGTCAGCAAATCAGGCCCCTCAATTGCCCTAGACTTTTGAATCCCTTGGCACTCCTGAATTCAATTACACCAAAAAAATAAAATGAAAAACACAATCAGCATCATGAGGATAAAAGGGTCAGAGAAATAATAGAAATAAGGAATTTAAGGTGGGTGCGTGGGTAGGGTGCGCATGTTAGCAAGAATAATGAGGTTCTGCTAATGTGCGCCAACAAAAATGAAGTTGAGGTCAAGGTTAAATCATGAGGATAAAGGGTCAAATAAAGGGGGTTGGAATAGGTCATCCCAATTATCTCTATCACTTAATTGTTTATTTAATCAAGTATCTGAATCATACGATTCTATTTTGGATTGGGTATATATCCATGGTGTTTGGGTTGGGGTTCGGGGATAAAATAGGCCATTTCGACTATTTCGATCTTTTATTTATTTATTTAATTAGGTATCTGAATTATACGATTCTGCTTTTTTGTTCTACGAGATGGGCGGGGTACAAATTAGCATGAAGAGTGAGGTCCTGCTAACATGCGCCAAGAAGAAAAAGTGAGTAATTTGGATCAAGATTTATGACCTCTTATTTTGTGATTTCCATTGGGAACTGAGCCTCTCATCCAGCCTTTGCTTGGCTTCTCTTGCAACTTCACCTAATTTCTCATCTTCATATTCTTGGCTTGTTGCATTTCTTTCCTGTTCATTCAAAAAATAAAAAAAAAGAGTTTTAATATCATTATTCATTACAAACACAAAAAAAAAAAAAAAAACTAATTTTTGATAGATCAATATAGGTGAATTCAATATCTAAAGGTGATAGATTCAGAATAATTATAATCGTGTTATATGTATAAAAAGATAATTCGGTTTGTAAAAGTAATTTTAAATTAATTATGCAGAATTCGAAAAAAGACTACACTTCAAAAGATATGAATTTATATCTTGCTAGTAAAAACACAAGAATCTAATCTTGGATAGATCCATAGAGACGATTTCAATATTTAGAGATGCATTGATTCAGAATGAATATAATCTTGTTATATGTATATATTTTAAATATTTTTTGTAATGAATTCAACTACATAATTCTTCCTAGATTCATTTGTACAAGTACATCTAATCTAATCAAACAAAAAATATATAATATAATTTTTCAATGAAGAATAGTCGACTGACTACGCTTGTACCTTGGAAAATCTTGAGGTAAGATTATGTTCATGGCTACTTGTGTATAGACAAAGAAAAGATCTTCTTGTGGATGAAGATATATTATATGATGAATCTAACAAGCCACTATTTTTATGAAATTTTCTTCTTCTAGCACATTCAACACCAGCAAGCATACCTGCCATTTTTACTAGTAATATGATACAAGAAAATGAATATTATTCAGATTTCAAGATGAAGGAACTCTTTTGATATCAAAATATCCAATATTTCAAAAAAAATTCAAAGAAATTAATAGGCCTAACTTCTTCTTCTATAGTACTATATATTTATTTTTTCTATAGAGTTGATTAATAAATAGAATTTACGAAGGAAGGTGATAGGAAGGATGTGGGAAACTTCACAAGACTTTTGGTACAATTTCTTTATTGTTTTTTTTTTAGACTAGTCCAAAATTAGTTCAATCATTGAGTTATGTTGAGTCAATTTTGCGTAATTTTTAAATAATATATTTTTCTTCTTTAGTCTTATTGAATATGGGAGATAATTCCAATGTAACATAAGAAATGTCCTTTATTTTTATTTTTTATGTTGATAGGTGGCAAGAAATAAATTAAAGAAAAAAGGGT